CTTGTAGACAGCATATGGATGGGTCATGTTTTCTTACCCATTCTGCCACTCTCTGCTTCTTGTCTGGAGTGTTTAATCCATTTATGTTAATGGTAATGACCGATAGAGGAGGATTTACTTCTACCTTTTTATTACACATTGTTCTGTGAGACTTATGGTTTCTTTATTCCTCTTTTCCTCCAGTGCTGAGTTCTTTTTGTCTATAATTTTTCAATCTGTTTTGTTTCTTCCTGTTTTTTTTTTGGTAGATGCTGAGCTGTTTTGTTTCCCTTCTTTATTTTGTTGTATAATTTTTAATTTACTTTCTTTGTGGTTATCATGTGGATTACATTTAACATCTTAAGTCTAAAACTACCTGTAATACCTTGATACCAACTTAACTTCCTTAACCTATAAGAAGTCTATGTCAACACCAATTCCCCTCTTTGATTTGGATGTTATCATCAATTCCATCTTTGTATCTTAGCTTCCCTGTAATCTAAATTTAAATTTATTTTATTATTATATATATTAAGTTATTTTTCCCCTTTTCAGTTTTCCCTCTTTAATTTTGTCATTATAAAGCATGAAGAACATGCCCATTATGTTTACCAGCTGGAAATACCTTAGGTCTGATATTTATACTGTTAATGCTTTCTTTTTAATGAAGTGCCTTCCCCCCCCCCCCGATATGTATCACTTCAGGTTACTGTCTTGTGCTGTTAGTTTGCTTTCTGGGGGACTCCTTTTAATATTTCTTGTAGGGTAGGTGTGGTGGTAACAAATTCCCTTAGTTTTTGTTTATCTGGGAATGTTCTAATTTCATCCTCATTTTTGAATGACAATTTTGCTGCGTATATTATTCTTGGTTGACAGTTCTTTTCTTTCAGCCTTTAAATATGTCATCCCATTGCTTTCTTGCCTGCATGGTTTCTGATGAGAAATCGACACTGAATCTTACTGAGGGCCCTTTGTATGTGATACTTTGCTTTTCTTGTGCTGCATTCAAAATTCTCTCTTTGTCCTTGGTTCTCAAGAGTTTGATTATGATATGCCTCTGTGTGTTTCTTTTAGAATTTATCTAATATGGAGTTTTTTGAGATTTTGGATGTAAAATTTCTCTTCTTATGACATTTGGGAAGTTTTCTGCCATTATTTCTAAAAAAAATTCTGGATTTTATTCCTGTCTTCTCCCTCTAAAACCTGTTGCTGTCGAGTCAATTCCGACTCATAGCCACCTTATAGGACAGAGTATAACTGCCCCATAGGGTTTCCAAGGGGCAGCTGGTGGATTCAAACTGCTGACCTTTTGGATAGCATTGATCTCTTAACTATTGCACCACCAGGGCTCCCTTCTTCTCCTGGGACTCTCATAATGCATATGTTATTCCTCTTGATGATGTCTCACATATTCCTTAGGCTTTGTTCATTCTTCTTAATTCATTTCTTCTGTTTGCTCTTCAGATTGAGCAAACTCAAAGTCCCTGCCTTCTATTTTGTTAAATCCTTTCTTCTGTCATTTGAATTCTACTTCTAAGTCCTTCCATGGTGGTACTCATTTCTGTTATTTTACTATTAAACTCCAGAATTTCTAATTATTTTTTAAGATTTCTATCTATTTCTTGAAGTTTTTTTATATCATTTTCCTGATTTCCTTAGTTCTTTTTCCATGTTTTCCTTTATCTCTTTGAGCATACTTAGTATTAATTGTTTGAAGTCTTTATCAGGTAATTCCATTATCTGACCTTCCTCTGACACCATTTTTGTCCCATTGTTTTCATCGTTTGCTTGAGCTATTCCTTCTTGTCTCTTCATATGCTTTGTAATTGTCTGTCTTTGGGACTTTTTTTTTTTTTTTTTGCTTTGATAAGTCAGGAGATTAGTTTCTTCCCTTTCTCTGTAGATTGCTCTTCTTCCTTTGTATTGTTATTATTGTTGTTGTTGTTTTATATTGTTGAAGGATGTGTTTCTCTATTTCTGCTCCAGCCTCCTCATCTCAGTACACTTACTATTGTTTCTTCTCTATTGTTTTCCTTGTCCAGGGTGGCCAGCCATCACTGTTTCACCTGTAGTTTCCCTCATTACTGCTTCCCTTGATTCACTGTAACTTCTGTCTGAGCAGTATACTTGCCTAGTCACACTGTCTCAAGTCTGATTGCTCTGGTGTCTCTACCTCCACTGTGTCAGCCTCACCTCTCTGTGTCAAGGCTGTCTGTTTATGTACTATGGTCTGTTTTGCACCCTGGATCAGCTTTCAGGCATCTGCCAGGAGTTCCCCAGACTTATTTCTGTTGCACTAGGAAGAGTAGAGATGGAGGTTTTCCTGTCATTATGTCCAAAAAAAAAATCTGCTTATGGTTTCAGAGCTACTGGTTGGCTGGGTGTGATTTTCTGTCTCAGGTGAGTGGGTTGGGTCAGATTCGTTTGGGGGGCCTGGGGGATTGGGTGCAAGACCCTTCCTACAGTGGGCTGTGAGGCACTAGGAGCAGGACCCTCCTGCACAGTGCAATGAGGCATGTAGCACTGGGGGTTGAGCCCTTGCTGCAGCAAGGTGTGTGACATTGGGGGCAGGGCCCTTGCTGGAGTGAAGCACGTGGCACTGGGGGAGCAGTGCCCATGCTGTGGAGAGGGTGAGGCATGTGTCTCTGAGAGGCTGGGCCCTAGCAGCAGCAAGGCACAGAGTGCAGGGGTTGGGGGGCTAGTTGTTACCCACTGGGTTGCTTGGGTGATGAGTGCCTCCTGTACTGGGTTATGCCACTCCTTTCCTGGGCTGTTTCCTCAGTCTCTTTGTCCAGTCTGAGTTTTCCATGTTGATCATTTCCTAGGCTCCTTGTTTGGCAATGCCACCTGTAACTGTCCAAAAATGGCTGTGCTAAGCTGGGCTGTCAAGTAGGGGGTGGACCATCTACAAATCTACACCTTCCCGCTGACCTGATTCTATCTCTCCCCTGATTTGATATTCAGTCTGGTTCTCCAACCCTTCAATTGTGGCCCAGAGTTCTGAGATCACAGGTTGTGTTGATTTTTACTTGGTTTATTGTGTCATTGTTGTGGGAGGATATTAAAGTGTGACTGTTTATGCTTCCATCTTACCCCCATCTTTATTGTTGATTTCTAAGAGTCCTTCACTTAGTCTTGTTACCAGACCCTTATCAGATATCTGATTTGCAAATATTTTCTCCCTTTCTGTGGATTGTCTTTTCACTTTCTTAATAAAGCTCTTTCATGCACAAAAGTTTTTAGTTTTGATGAAGTACAATTAATCTTTTGTTTGTTTGTTTCTTGTGCTTTTATTGTTATCTAAGAAACCATCACTTGATCCAAGGTCATAAAAATTTACTCCCATTTTTTCTTCTAAAAGTTTTATACTTTTAGCTCTTACTTTTAGGTCTTTGATCCATTTGAGTCAATTTTTGTATGTGGTGGTGAGAAAGGGGTCCAAATAAATTCTTTTGCAAATGGATATCCAGATGCTCCAGCACCATTTGTTTAATTTTTGGGGCACCCTGATGGAAAATAAATTGACCATAAATATGAGGATTTATTTGTAGACTCTCAATTCTATTAATTGATCTATATGTCTAGCCATATTCCAGTGCCACACAATCTTGATTACAGTAGCATTGTAGTAAATTTTGAAATCTAGAAGTGTGAGTCTTCCAACTTTGTTCTTCTCTGTCAAGATTATTTTGGCTATTCTGGACCCATTGTATTTCTATATGAATTTTAGGATCAACTTGTCAATTTCTTCAAAGAAGCCAGCTGGGATTTTGCTAGGAATTGCATTACAACAGAATAGATTACACCTCAACATAAAGAAAACAAAAATCCTCACAACAGCACCAATAAGAAAACATCATGATAAACGGAAAAAGTATTGAAGTTGTAAAGGATTTCATTTTACTTGGATCCACAATCAATGCCCATGGAAGCAGCAGTCAAGAAATCAAATAAAGCATTACATTGCACAAATCTGCTGCAAATGATCACTTTAAAGTGTTAAAAAGCAAATATATTAGTTTAAAAACTAAGGTGCTCCTGGCCCAAGCCATGGTATTTTCAATCACCTCTATGATTGTGAAAGCTGGACAATGAATAAGGAAGACTGAAGAAGAATTGATGCTTGTGAATTATGGTGTTGGCAAAGAATATTGAATATACTATGGACGTCAGAAGAACAAACAAATCTGTCTTGGAAGAAGTACAGCCAGAATGCTCATTAGAAGCAAGGATGGGGAGACTTTGTCTCAGGTACTTTGGACATGTTATCAGGAAGGACCAGTCCCTGGAGAAGGATATCATGCTTGGTAAAGTAGAAGGTCAGCTAAAGAGAAGAAGACCCTCAATGAGATGGATTGACGCAGTGGCTGCAACAACGGTCTCAAGCATAACAACAATTGTGATAATGACGCAGGACCAGGCAGTGTTTCGTTCTGTTGTACATAGGGTCACTATGAGTCGGAACCAACTCAACAACACCTGACAACAACAACATCCATCCCAACAATATCAAATCTTTCAATCCATGAGCATGGGATGTCTTTCCATTTATTAAGGCCTTCTTTAATTTATTTAAACAACATTATGCAGATATCAGAGTATAAATTTTGCACTTCTTTTGTTTACTTTGCTCATAAGTGTATTATTTTTTTGATGCTGTTTTATATGAAACAGTTTTCTAAATTTCACTTTTGGATTGTTCATTGAACGTGCATAGAAACATAAATTATTTTTGTACATTGAACATGCATCCTGCAACCTTGCCAAAATTACTAATTAGTTCTGATAGTTTTTTAGTGGATTCCTTAGTATTTTCCATGTACATGATCATGATACTTGAAAATTACCTTTTTAAAAAATTCTTTACATATATCAATATAAAATTAGGGTAAATTTTTCATAGGCCCAATTTTTTTAGAAGCAAAAAATTCAAGTATTTATTTTTCAAAATCATCTGCAAGTTACCATTATTCACTCTCCTGCTCTTCTCAGTTCACCCTATCCCCATCCACTCCCAGCACTCACTTCTGAGGCCACTCGAGTTTCATCGAAGACTGGATGTAGAATGCTTGCACCATTTCCTGCTGCTCCTGGGAGAGGGTGGGCATGGAGCTAGAGGGGGGTGTGGGCACTGGGATGGAGAAGGCACTCTGGGTCTCTTTGTGGCTGGCTTCCCTCACAGACAGTTGGTCATTCACAATGCATAGGCTGGAGGAAGAATGGGCCTTGAGACAGCTGGACAGATGGACAACTTCATAACCCCCAACAACAATCCTGCTCCCACTCAGCAACCACTTTCTTTCCATCTCCTGCTCAGCCTGCCTCCCAGATTCCTGGGCTGGTACCCTTTCTCCTCCCAGAGAACCTCCCTTTGGAGAGACATCTGCCAGCTTCACTAGACTTTTAGGGTTACCCCTAACTCAAAAGTTTCACACTTAGGAGGAAAGAAAATTTTCCTTGTTTTATTTTCTGAGAAAAACCCTGATGTGTTTCCATTCCTATTGGTCCAGACCAGAATCCTGTATTATAGAGACCTAAGGGAAAACCAGGTGAGCTATGTGGGCTCCCTTTACAACATCCCAAGGAGGTGGTTACTCTAATTTTTATATTCAGAGTAGGACACTGAGTCACAGAGAGGTCTTGTAACTTGACCAAGGTCACACGGCTGATGAATGCTGGGGTCAAGGTAAGAACTTGCTATTTCAATGCCACAGCCTACGCACTTAACCACTAGGCTAGACTGCTTTGGGGAACTACTTTTTGGCATTCTGCAATATTAGGGAAATAGCTGAGAACTACACTGTCACCTTCCCACACCACTGGCCTCAGGCTGGGATGGGTGTTTCCACATGGCACCCACAACACAGAACTTACCTGGAGTTGCTGGCAGGAATAGGGATGAAGATTTGAGTGAAGGAATGAACATGAGCCTCAGACATTCTTTCTACTTCAAGGACAACAAAAAATACCCCTCAGAGTTGCCCGTGCTTTACACACTCACCAGCAGCATTCTCCATTCAGGGTCTGACTTTCCCATGTCTCCACAAAGGGGGCCAGACAGGGACAACTGTCCACTGGGAGTCAGGAGGGAGTGTCAGCGATGGGGAGAGCAACAACAGGAACAACCACCTCCCATTGATAAGGCCCCTACTCTGTGTCAGGCTCTGTGACAATCTCTTCACAAGTTCATTTGACACATTTTTCACAGCAGCCCAAGAGATGGGTATTACTAGGCCCATTTTGCAAATGAGGGGACTGAGAGGTAAGCAAGTGTCCCAAGGTGTCAGAGTGAGGGATTAGAATGAGAGCCATCAAACTCCACAGCTTGTGCCCCTAACACCTGGGCTGTGCTGGGGAAGGTGGGTATGGACATAAATCAGATCAGGGTGGGTTGGGGGCAGGTGGGAGCTGGAGAGCACAGAGGGAATGGGAACAAAAGGGAAGGAATTTCAGGGAAGCCTGGAGAATTCTGAGAGGGAGTCTGTCAGGGGGAAGGAGAGTGGGTGACATGGGGAAGGAACTCTACAGACACTCACCCTCCTTTAACACCCCGTTGACAGAAAAGCAGAGCATCTTTTCCTGAAAGAGTAAAACATCTCAAGCTCCTAGGATACCCCTAAATCTCCTATCCACCTCCTCTCTCTGGGCCAGCCTCAGGGAGGAACCAGGTGCTCACCATCTGGCTGCACATGTCCACTACAAAGTTGCTGACGTCATGCTGGGTTTGGGGCAAAACACTGAGAAAGTCAACAACGTCACATTTTGTGTGTTTCAGCAACTGAGCCCGCAGGACAGTTGGGGGAGGAGAAGAGAAGGTCAGGGGCTGTCTCACTCACCTGGCCCCTATGATTGATCCCTTCACACCTCCTGTCCCACCCAACCTTCCCCCTCACACACTTACCGGGGTCCTTGAGCTTCTTCATATTCCTGTTCCCCTTGGAGTACTTGTCCAAGCACCTTCTAGGAGAAAAAGAGGAACAGGAGGTAGCAGACTGGCCAGTGTCTGCTGGGGAGTCACATGGCCCAGAGCTGTCATTGGGTCTGTGATACTCACGGAGCTGGGTCCCCAGGGTTGAAAGGAATGATCATCCAGAAGCAGGCCTCTTCGTGGTAAACACCCAGGAGATCTTGCAGGTCCCCAAAGTCATAGATCCAGTAATATCTGTGGGGAAGCAAAGGGGACAGGCTCTCTGAGGTCTGGGCCCCTAAGTGAACTTGAAAGCTCCCATGAGCAGGCCTGTGTCTTGAGGTTCTGGGGGTACTTACTCCTGCAAGAATTGCAAGATTAGATTCTTCAAGGCCTCAGATCCTTTATAGCTTTCCTAGAATTATAAGACACCTTGGGACATTGCAGCTGACAAAGCCTCCCTTGCAACATGCCAAATCTTCCTTGGTACCTCCAACTTACCTTGCAGGGTGTCATTATCTCAGAGGCTTCAAAGCGAAGAGTAATCGGTAGGGGTAAATCCTGGCCATCCTGGGTAATGAAAGAAGTCAGTAGTGCAGACCAGGGAAGTCACACTGGACAAGAAATGAGACAAAGGTGTCCCGGAGAGAGTGAGGGTCAGAGGTCAGATGTGAATTGGCCTTGATAATTCTGTAAGCCAGACTAAAGTTGGTGTCTTCTCCATGAGGCCAGGGAGCCTCTACTATTATATGCAATGCATGTGTATTTTATGGACTTTTTTTAAGGGAGAATAGCCATGTTTTTTTCAGGAGTCCATGTCCCCTAAAACAGGTAAAGGTTCAGTGCAAAACTGTAAGCTTGGCAAGACACAAAGGACTTGAGGGCAGGTGTGCAGGTCATCAGTGTTAGTGAGAGGAGGTAATAATGAAGGTAAGCACTTACCAGGCGTAACAACTTGGGAAAACAATCCTGGATGGCACTGTCCAAAAACAAAAATAGGAAGAAGTGATTGACAGTTCAGTGTTGGGCTGCCTGCTTTCTGCTAACACATTGATACCATGAACAGAGCCCAGAGTTTCCTGCCCATCCAGCAGCCCCCAGAGCCCCCACCCTTAGCCTGAGTTCAGGTGTCTTCGGTCCACATTCCCTTTGTGGAGCACTGGGCATCTCCCATATGGACTGTCTTAAAGGCATAGTCTCTCCACCTCTCTCCCCATACCCTGCTCCCCGTCTCCTTCCTCCTGAGAAGCTCCCACAGGAAGGCCCTGACCCCCTTCTCCAGTGACACAGAAGCAGCAAGTGGAGCCCAGGCTACAGGGATTCCTTCCCCTCCCTGCCACACTTACCTCCCTCCAAGTCCCCAGGGAAGGCTCTGGAGGGAGGAGGGAATGGGGTGCGGCCCAGGGCTCTGCTCCCTCACCAGGTGTCCAGTGCTCTGCCAGGCCTGGCCCTGGACAACACCAGGACATCCCTGGGGATGGCCCCGGATGCCGGGGAGGGCAATGAGTGAGGCAGGCTTAGGAGGCAGGAAGGGGATGAGGGCAGGAAGGGAGTGCAGGTAGGCAGGGGAGACATAAGGGAGAAGAGACTAAGGAAAAAGAGAAAGCCAAGGAAAGGCAAGGGGAAGAAGTTTACTGTGGGTGGTGGGGATTAGGGAGAAAGGAGACAAGAAAGGGGAAATGGCTCCCCCACTGCCTTTCTGTCCTTCTTCTTCCCCTGGCTGGCACTGGGGCCCAGGTAAGAATGGAAAACAGGTACTTGTTGGGCCGGGGCCCATTGGCCTGTGCCTCCTGTGTGATGCCATCTGAGCTGGGCATGGGAAACAGAGCAGCCAGTGGGGCAGGAGACCTTCCCCAGGAGTAAAGGTTCAGGTAAATACACAGCATGGGGTTTGAGGGTCTGTGGCCCTTCTTATGAACTCCACCTTCTCCCCTGATGGCCCCTGTACAACTGTGCCTGTCTTAGTTGGTCCCTTTCTGAGGAATCAGACCATCTTGATCTACCCAGTGCTCCTCTGAAGGACCAGGCAGTATGCCTCGATGTGGAGGAGGGAGGGGAGCAGGGCCCTTGAGAGGCCTGTCTTCCGTCTCTTCATCCACCTCTGCCCTCTGCCTTCCACACCTGGTATCTGCCTCAGGATACCCTCTGTTCACTGGAGGTGACCCACTTCTGACTCAGGGAACCCAGTCCCCCCGCCCCAGGAAGGCCTGGCTCTTTCATTGGGCCAGAGGAACAGATGTCATGATAAGACATCTGCCTGGGACAGGTCGGGGGACCCTTTTGGAGCAGGGAGAGAGTGTCCATCATAGGACGGGGAGGGAAGCCCCATCTCAGCTCAGGGGCAGGAAGGCCTGTCTCAGCAGGAGGCCCTGATCAGGAGGAGCCTTCACAGTCCCTGGGAGGATCTGGCTCAAGGTGGGAAACAGGCTCCAGGCCAGGGAGCAGTGAGCAGGCCAGAGGAAGGCAGAGAGGCCTCTAAGCACAGGTGAGAGACAGAGAGAGGAGAGGACAGGGCACGTGGTCTTCCCAGAGGACCCGCGCTGCAGCCTCCTGCAGAAGGGCACTGTTGGGAACAGCTAAGACTGCCAGGGGGTGAAGGTCCCCAGGAGGGCTGACAGCAGTTACCACTGACCTTGCGGTTGTTGTTAGTTGCCATTGAGTCGATTCCGACTCATGGCAACCTCGTGTGTGCAGTGTATAACTGTGCTCTACAGGGTGTTCAAGCCTGTGACCTTTGGAAGCAGATCACCAGGCCTGCTTTTTGAGGTGTCTCTGAGTGGGTTTGAACTGCCAACCTTTGGGTTAGTAGTTGAATGATTAGCCATTTGTCCCACCCAGTGACTCCCCACTGACCTTACATAGGTGGACTGGTCTAAGAAGTTGTTGCACAATGGGTTTCCTTGTAGCCACAGCTCTTCGAGCTTCAGCCCTTTTATCTTGTCCAGCTCCCAAGTCAACTTTAGCTGAGAAAAATGGAGAGGAATGAGGGAGAGGAGTCCCAGGGACAGAGAGACTTCTGAGCCCCTGCACCCCAGCCCTCACCCTCACCTACAGGCACCTTCCTGCCTCTTGTAATCACCCTGATGAGCACTGTCAGCCACCCACAACCCAAATTAGATCTGGCTCCCACTTTTCACCTCATTGTTGGACAGGTTCAGGATCTTGACTTTGGGGGCCGTCTGTATAATAGCAGACAGGCCATCCAGCTGGTAGTTTGTTTCTGCGCAAGTTCAAGGACAACAGCTTTTGGGAAGAAGGGTTAGAGTGACAGTTACTATCTAGGGCTTCAGATAAAAATCTGCCCTCCATCTCATCCTTTTCACCCCTCTACCTAAATACCAGCACTGGGCCTAAATAGTCACCTCAGGGAAATTCTTTTCGATGATCTTCAGGGTGGCAGCCATGCAGTTTCTTCGATTCAGGATCATGTCAATATCATGGCCTACTAAGTCTTCAGGAAGTTAAGAGAAGGGAATCAGAAGACTGAGATGAGCCAGCTAGGTCAGTACCAGTGCCAACCGCTCCCCAAGTTATCATCCCTAAGTCTCCCTCCCATGCATACCCTTCTACCGTCACCTGCCCTGGAATTACTGCTGTCAGCCATCCTGGGTCAAAGCGGAAGCACTGGAGGTCAAGAGTTTGCTGAAAGTCATTATAGCATTTGTTCATGCTCAGCTGCAAAAGCAGAGATGGAGATAGCAGCTCTGAGGCAGTTGTGGTGGTGATGGGGAAACTGGGGTGGAGGAAAAAGAGGTGGGTCTAGGTGTGGGCACACAGCATGTCTTGAGTCTGCATTACCTTTAGCTGCTCCATTTGTTCTGGCTTCAACTTATTCTGCACAGAATGTGGTACAACAGAAGGGTTGACAGTGATAGATTATCTGCAGGAAAGAGATGGAAGGTAAGTACCAGGAACTCAAATCCCAAAGAAGATGGTCCAGCTCCTGGTTTGTCTTCCTGCCACTGAAATATGTATAGTTAATTCCCTCAATACACACCTTTAGATTATCTTCATCACGAATCTTGTAGTTGACAGCCTTCAACACAGATGCAGTGCTCACATCCTGGACAAAGAACTGGGCATTCTTTCTCATGTAGTGGAACTACAGGGAGCAGAGACAACAGCAATAGTGTCGGAGGCTAAAGGTCCATGATGATCCAGTTCACTCCCCTCCCCTCTACCCAGTCATCTGACTTCACTGTCCTTTATTACATCAACCAAGCTGAAGGGAACACTGCAATGGCTCTGGGTGGAACTCAGTAGCCAAGTCTTGTCATACTTTCTCCAGTAAGGAACCTAAGAGTAAAACAAAGTACAGGAGAGAAGAATGACAACTTGGAATTAAGGCTGGAGAACGGACCCCACCAAGTGCTCTGTTCTGACCTTCTACTGAGCTTTAAAAAGCTTCTAAAGAAGAGACCATTGACATGATTTATTTTTCTTACCATTCTAGAAGCTGTCTTCCAAATAATCATCTTTAGATGTTTGACATCATCTTCCTTTTTTAAGATTCCAGGAGATCCTACCTAATGTAGACCCTGCCTGCTCCTCTAACAAAGACTCTAGAGACTCGACCCCGTATTCCCCCTCCGGCCACTTCCAACACACACACTCGATTTGAGCCAAACTGAGTCTTGCTGTGGGGAGTTTCTCCATCTCCTTGGAAGTGGTTCCCACCTCTGCCTTTAGACAAGTGCGCTGGCATTCCTGCCAGCCTTTTCCCTTTTTTTCAATTCTCTGAACCCTTAGATGATCAAGCATGCTAACTCCTAGTTATGAAAAGGAAAGATCACCAACTCCCCCTTCCCCCCTGCCCCCTATAAAGTACCTAACATCTCTTCACAAGACCAGCATAATTCCACTTGAGCAGCCCTCCCCCTCCCCGACACACTGCATACATTTTTCCAGGATACTCACTGTAATCTTAAGTCAGCTCCCGAAGTTTCCATCCTTCCTCTTCTCGTTCATTTCTCTTTTTGGAGGGCTTCTATCTCTCCACTCAGTAGCGTGGATGTGGTCTTTATTATACCGTATCACTCTCCTATTACTGGATAGGATAGTATAGGGGGTACTGTGGGGAAGTGGATGCAGGAAGGTGTCCATAAATTCTAAGAATGCCTTCTACACACCCTCACCTCACTGATAGTAGGGATACAATTGTTTTTGCTCAACCATTATTCCACTTCTAGCATCCTTCAATTTTCAAGTGGGGGAAGAATAACATAACACAGAGGGTGAGAGTTGCATAGTCCCAGTGGTTGCTACATGTAAACCAAGCTGCCTGGTCACTTACTGTCTTACTTGGAGGTGTTTGTGGGCATCCCTTGTTGGCACCTTTCCATCATCCTCTTGGAGGGATGGAGGTGGAAGCTCATATCCACCCTGTTCGTAATGAAGGGTGCCCTCACTATGATTTCCTTGGAAAGAACTCTGACCTTTCTTTCTTTCCTTGTGTTCTGAAATCGGGAACAAAAACACAAGGTTGAAGACCTATCAGTTGTTCACATGTCATGTACTCCATCTTGGGCTAACACCACTGTAGGGCAAGCAAACTGCCAACCTACCTTAAGGGAGCAACCACAAACACCAGTAAGCAATCTCCTCTACTAGATGTGAGACTCTATCAGACAGATGACATCAGGGGAGAAATCTTGGAGGAGGAGTTAATAACTCTGTTGAACATATCAAAAAAAGGTACAGGATTTATAAAGAATAAGGACGTGAGTGTCTACTGGTTAGACTGGACTCCAACCATACACAAGGAAGGCATTCTAATCTTGCATTCCTTCCCAACTCTCTAATCTAACAACTGCACCAAAACCTGGGAGGCAACTTCTCTCACACCTCCCAAATCCAATCAGCCACAAAAATAACTTCATTAACAACCGGCAAGCTGTACTTCTCCTGACTATACAGTACAAGTTTAATTAAATGACAGGTGGGACTGAATTAACAGCTTCCTAAACTGTCTCCCTACCTGCAGCCTTGCCCTCAACAACACTGTTTGAAATATCCAAAGTGACTTTCCTTTTCTCAGCCTGAAACGCCTTTCACTCTCTGTGATCTTAAACCAGATCCTGGAAACAACCCTTCCTAACTCACTTCTTCTATACCAAGAGTCTGAATGATGAACTGGAACGATAGGTGCCAATTATAATTCCCGAGTGTTTATGGATTTTTATTTTTGCTTTATGCTGTTGATTTCAAGTTTGATTCCATTATGGTCAGAGAAAAATACTCTCTCTGTACTTCAATTCTTTTAAATTTGTTGAGGTTTGTTTGATGGCCCAAGAGATGGTCTATCTTGGTGAATATTACATAGGCACTTTAAGGGAAAAAAAAGTGTACTCTGCTGTTGATGAGTGGAGTGTTATATGTATGTCATTTAGATTCTGTTAGTTTACTGTGTTAGTCAAATCTTCTATATTCTTACTGATTTTCTGTATAGTAATTATATCACTTGCTGAAAGGGGAGTGAATTGGGCTTTTCTCCTTTCAGCTCCATCAGTTTTTGCTTCATGTACTTTGGAGGCTATGCTGTTTGATGCATACACATTTAGGATCGTTATGTCTTCCTGGTGGGTTGATCCTTTTATCATTATGTAAAGTCCCTCTTTGTCTCTTGTAATTTTCCTTGCTCTGAAGCCGACTTTGTTGGATACTGTAGCCTCAGGTATGCTTATTAAAAGTGTTTTTGCTATATTTCACCCTGTACTCATTCCTAGGAGTTTTGTTTCTGGTCCCCATCTCCCCACCCATCCCCACTCCCTGCTAACATATCTAATTTACCATGTGGAAAGATTTGAAAATTGTTTTGGCATCTACGGAAATAAGATATTTTCAATTCTCTCTCTGACAGGTGGATTCTCTAAGGGTATTATTTTTCCCACACTCAGCTGAATCAATGTACCATCAGATGGTGATGCTAGTAATACTAGTGGTTTGAGGCAAAAGGAAGTTAAAGCATTTAGACTGTTAGAACCCAGATTCCTTTTGGGCTCTAACATTTAAGGTGCTCTATATTCTGATCTAATCAATTTTATACATTAAGAACTCCATGTTGACTCAGTGCACTTTATGATGTATTGATTATGACCATGGCTCAGATTCACTCCTCTGGGGAGTCATTGGCTTCACTGTGTGAGCCACTGTCAGGACAGTCCTCTACTCACAACCTTTGGTACTTGCCTTGTGTGGCACTTAGAAGTGAGATGTAACATGAGAAGAGCACTTGACTCAGAAATTCCACTTGGTCAGGCCCCAAAATTTGGAGGTGACCTGGAGTACTCTCTCTCTCTGTTGTCTGATATTCGACAACTAACTGATGAGGAAGTTCTCTTGGATCTACTTTCAAACCATATCCAGAATCTAGCCACTTCTCACCATCTCCACTGCTACCACCCTGGGCCAAGTCACCAAATTCTATCTCCTGGGTTTACACTGCCTTCCAACTTGTCACCCTGCTTTCACCCTTGTTCCCACAGTCTATTTTTAACGCAGCAGCCACGGTGATTTTAAAGCATAGATCAAATCATGCCACTCCTCTTTTCAAAACTTTACAACAACGGTTGGAAGCTCACCACAATGTCAAAAAGCCGTAAGTTCATAATGATACTAAACAACGACAAAAAGTAAACTTGTCGATGACCTCTGAGGAATGCCAGGAAAACAACTAATTTTTATAAAAATTAGTAAATAGAGGGACAAATCAAATATTTATCCTGCCTCTCTTGTACAAGCTGCGCATCAAGGAAGCCAAACTACTGATTAGAGAGAGTTTGTCTCTATTGGCGTATTCCAGCTAATATATGAAGAAGACATAGTCGAATTTTAATATCACCATTTACAAACCTCTAATTAAATAAACCATTTAGGTAATGGTCATCAATACCTGCTCAACATTATAAAAAGGGAGATATAATTTGCCTTGTTATTGGAAAACACAGCACCACCTATGACGTGGTCTTGTCAAAAAACATGAAAGCCATGAGAGGAACTTGAGAGCAGGCACCAAACTACCCCTTCCGAGCCACATATGTAAGACAGAGTCCTCACAGAAAGTCTCCTCCCTAATGGGCATAGAAAGGAGAGCCCTAGGGTCAGAAGTGATCTTACAGCCCTCCACCCCAAGTTTGCTACCAGCAGAACATCAGAGAGCTGTTTCCAAATGAAGCCACTCCCACAGGGGCAGCCAATGAGACTCAGGAGGCCTGGATCCCAGCTAGAAGAGAAGTCAGATCCCGTTACTTCTAACTGAAAACCCAGGGAACTCTGATGGCCAGCCCTGTGCCTGCTGTGTTATATTCTGTTCCTTCATTCTGCAAACCCAGGGAACTCTGAGGGCCTGCTGTGGGCCAGGCTCTGTGTCTACTGCATTACATTCTGTTCCTTCATGTATTTCTCACAGTAGGGCTGTGATTTGCAGAATCACCAACTCTATGCCCTCCTTCAGTTTGCTGACGCTTAGCGAGTTGCAGGAAACAGAAAACAGAGTTTTGATGGGGGAATGAGAGTGGAAGAATTTTGCTACAATCTACCTTCTCCCTCTGAGATCCAGATAAATGAGAGAAGAGGCGAAGGGTCAAGAGATGAGATGTCAATGTGAAATTAAGCAATGGCAGTAGAATAAAATTTGAAAAATATCTGGGGAACTGAACTCATATTGACAACACTGAACCTTCTGGAAATCATTCCTCTTAGGAAAAGTGTCATTTCCCTCCTGTGTATTTATTCGCTTTTCTTTTTCCATCACTTTTTTTGACCCTCAAGAATAATGATATATATGGAAATGACTGAGTGATAGCGCTGTATGTGGAGGCTGCAAAGAAAAAGATACTTGGGAGGATCAAGGCTGAGGATGGGTCTCTTGGAGCAAGCACTGGAGTGACAGTCAATTTATCTGGACCCTAAAGCTCTACCCATCTATGTTACTCCTCTTCATACAGCCTTCCATCACCCAGTTGTGGTGATTCAATCCAGAGAGCACCTCTGAGCATTTAAAAGGAAAAGAAGGACCAAAGCAATTACAACACACTACTTTATGATAGTCATATTCCAAGAAAATGCATATATGGAGCATATGATAGAAGCTATTGCTTTGTAACAATGATCAAAACATAATTATATTACATCTGTATTAATTATAATTGTTTTGATAGTAGAAACTTAGGAGGAGAATATTTATCACAGCATTGGATGACAGAGTGAGTAATTACTGCAGAAAATGTGAACGATCATGTTAAACTTTTAGCCCTATTCTCTAATTTTCTACAGAAAATGAATAGAACTTGCGTAATTGACATTTAAAAAATGACCATTAGAAATAAATTAGTGGAAAGAGGATACTCAAGCCACTGTAATCTGAACAGAAGCTGTAAATTGATTTGTGGCACTGAACAAAATAGAGGGGGGTTAGATGTCAGAGGCAAAATGCACTAAGGGGTGGAGCAATGGCTCGGGGTCAAAGTATGGAATATAGAAAGAGTCAGATAATTTTTGGGAACCAACACTACTTCAGGAAAAACGTCACCAAGGGGAAGGTGTAAAAGTGGGCTAACTAACAGCTACAGCAGTCCCCAGACCGTCTGAGTCAGGTGGCAATTCTTTTATCAAGGTGATTCAGACACGGGCAGTCTCAGGCAAGTCTTTGTGTTGGGAACCTCACAGGAGAGTGTGCAAGTGATAAAAAGCCATAGAAGGACCAGATGGACAGAGACACAGAAGACAAAGCATACACACGCGTGCACACACACACACACATATGCACTCACTTACTGAACTGTTCCATCTCAGCACAATCCTTGTGTCACACTCATGCTACCAGAATGAAAGATATTATAAAGCAGCTAGTACCAGTCACCCAGGCTTCCTGGGTTCCCCCTCAGGCTCCACCAGGTATTAGCTGATCCTCCCACAAAGAAATGGCAGTGAGCATCCTTTATGACATCATGTGCGTTCATATTGCTACTTCCTGTGTTACTTTGGAATTCTGCCTGTGTCATTGCTATGCCACTCAGTACATGGCAATAGCATCCTTGCTACAGTAGCAAAGAATGGAGTAAGAGGAAAACC